TGGACACAATTAATAAAGAGATGAATGGCTTTAGCTGCAAACTGTCAACTAAACTGGGGAGCAGTAAATTAGAAACTAAACAAATAAAAAGATGTAATTTAAAATGAAATAGGGGAGTACTACTAACTGCACTATAGTACACTAGAAAATATTTTAAACTTTAATTTCTGAAAAAATACCATATTTTTTACTAAAATTTCTAGGTTTACATATATATTACACCCAAAATCAACATTTTATTATTCTTTACCTAAGGTAAACAATGTAAAAACTGTTTTAAAACATTTAGTTTACTTATAGTTTGAAGAAAAAATAAAATTTCCCTTAAAAATCAAAAAAAAAAAAAAAACCAATTGTTGACATTGTGTAAACAATGTAAACAATTAAATAAATTATATTAATAGAGAAAATTGTTACATAACAGCATTTTAAAAACGAGAAACCCATATTAAAGACCATTTTTAATTATTTACATCGTGTAAACAATGTAAATAAACCCATAACACATGTAATAATGTAATAATTCTGTGACTAATAAATTAGAATTTTAAAAAACTACTTTTATAACGAATTTCCTTAAAAATTACTTTGTATTGCTAATTTTGAATTATTTACATTAGGTAAACAATGTAAAAAATCGCATACATTAAGTAAATAACTATTAAATTCTATAGGATAGTAATTTTTTTACTAAAATTTCTAGGTTTACATATGTATATGTTACACCTAAAAGTAGCTTTTTACTATACTTTACGTAAGGTAAACAATATAAATAATGTTTTAAAACATCATAATTTGCTTAGAGTTTAAGGATAAAATTGAATTTCTCTTAATAATGCAAAAAATTCCAATTGTTGACACTATGTAAACAATGTAAACAATTAAATAAATTATATTAATAGCAGAATCTATTATATAACAGCATTATAAAAACGAAAAACCCATATTAAAGACCATTTTTTAATTATTTACATCGTCTAAACAATGTAAATAAACCCACAACGCATGTAATAATGTAATAATTCAATGACTAATAAATTAAAATTAAAAAAAATCTACTTGTATAACAAATTTTCAATTGTTGACACTGTGTAAAGAATGTAAACAATTACATGAATTATTTAAATAACAAAAAAATTACATAATGACCTTAAAATTACTTTATATGGCATATTTTGAATTATTTACATTAGGTAAACAATGTAAAAATTTGTATACATAAAGTAAATAACTATTAAATTCTATAGTCATCATAAAAAATTTACAAATTAATTTTTCAAGCTAATTTTCCATGATTGACATTATGTAAACTATGTAAATAAATAATAACCTACTGTAAATTATATTATATTATTTTACAATTCTCTACAAAAGGTAAAAATTGCAAATTTCGTGGAAAATTTTATTACAAAAAATGTTTCTATATTAGAAGTTATATTCTTATAAAAATTAAAAAAAAAATTTAATTATTTACATTATGTAACCTATGTAAAGAATGACATTAAGTAAGGAAAATTTAAAATATATAAATTTTCTTTAAAATATCCTTTACATTTAACTGAAATCAATGAACATTTATTTGACTAATAAACAACCAACAGGTCGTCTTATTAACTTCTGCACTTTAAAATAAAGAAAAAGATTGATGATGTTTAAGACAAACAATTAAAATCATTTTTTTCTGCACTTCAATACCTTGACAAATTTTTTTGTTAAAGACTTGAAGCAAAACAAGTTAGAGTGCTATATTCGGCTATGCCGAATCTTAAATACCCTCCACCAGCAAACTACTTTTTATTGAAACCCATCTAACTATCTAATTTTTAGATAACTTGCCAAAATTTTTGTCGAACTAATTTTGATTAGGTCCAGAAAATGTATATTAATACGCCAGTTCGAAAACATTTTAACAGAATGATGTATCTATACACAGAATATGGGAGTTGTGACCAATTATGGACTGATCATGAAACAATTTCATATAATGATTTATATGCAGAAAAAGATCAAGTCTAATTTTACTCCAATAGCTTAGGTGACTTTAGAGGTGGATTTTATATAGGAGCTATGAACAATTAAGGGCCTATCTGGAAAAATTTCGCAGAGTGATTCATATGTGCACAAATCATATTTTATCAAGATATCTTTATTTGATAATTAAATATGTGCGTTAAAGGGATTTTTTTAAGTGGACCTATTACCAAATATGGACCGATCCAGAAAAAATTTGGTACAATGTTTTATATGCCTATCCGCAAAAAATTTCGTAGAGTGATTTATGTAAAGACAAAACATAATTGTGTCGAATTTTCTCAAATTTCTCTCAGAAGTGGACTTTATATAGAAGCTATGGCCAATAATGGACCGATCCGAGAAAAAAGTGGTAGAATGATTCATATGTACACAAAACTTATTCAAGTCGAATTTTACCCCTATAGCTTTAGAATTCAATGAAATATATGCGTGTAAGTGATTTTCGGAAGTGGACCTTATATGGGAACTATGATCAATTATGGGCCTATTCGGGAAACATTTCGCAGAGTGATTCATATTTGGACAAAACATGTTTGTGTCGAATTTTATCAAGATAGCTTTATTTGATAATGAAATATGTGCTTTTAAGTGATTTTCGTAAGTGGACCTTATATGGGAGTTATGACCAATAATGGACCGACCCGTAAAAAATTTATAAAATGATTTGTACGTACACAAAACATATTCAAATCGAATTTTATCCCAACAGCTTTAGAATTCAATGAAATATATGCGTTTAAGTGATTTTCGGAAGTGGACCTTATACGGGAGCTATGACCAATTATAGGCCTATCCGGAAAAAATTTCGTAGAATAATTCATGTTTAGGTAAAACATATTTGTGTCGAATTTTATCAATATAGCTTTACTTGGCATTGAAATATGTGCTTTCAAGTGATTTTCGGAAGTGGGCCTTATATGGGATCTATGACCAATTATGGACCGATCAGTTAAAAATTTTGTAGAATGATTTGTATGTATACAAAACTGATTTGTGTCGAATTTTATCCGGATAGCTTTATAATTCAATGAAATATATGCGTTTAAGTGATTTTCGGAAGTGGACCTTATATGGGAGCTATGACCAATTATGGGCCTATCCGGAAAAAATTTCGTAGAGTGATTTATATTTCGACTAGACATATTTGCATCGAATTTCATCAAAATAGCTTTAGTTGGCAATGAAATGTGAGCTTTTAAATGATTTTCGGAAGTGGGCTTTATATGGGAGCTATGACCAATAATGGACCGATCCGTAAAAAATTCGGTAGAATGATTTGTATGTATACAAAATATATCCAACTCGAATTTTATCATAATAGCTTTATTCATCAATGAAATATGTGCGTTTATGTGATTTTCGGAAGTGGACCTTATATGGGAGCTATGACCAATTGTGGACCGACTGAGATCTACGTTGACAGTATGATTTCTGTTCATATTATATATACATGTACAAAATTTCGTGTTGATATCGATATATTTGAGGGAGTTATTAACGATCTAATTTCCGGGAATATATACCTTTGTATGGGGGCTATGGAAAATATTGGATCGATTGTAAAGATTTTGAACATAATTGATCACTGCCCTGAAAAAATAATGTGTGACAAAATTCATCGAAATATCTTTGGTAGTTTCTGAGAAAACTGTAAAAGAATTATGAAAAAAACGTAATTTTTTTCGAGGTAGTCTGAAATTTGTACTCATAACTTTTTACGTTGTGAACCGATTTTGCTGATTTTCAATACCAAACTGCTTAGGATAATAATAAATATTTTGGGTGAATTTGGTTGATTTCCTTTACTTAATTTTAACGTGAGCGTGTTTTACACAGACAGACAGACGGACAGACGGACAGACGGACATAGCTAAATCGACTCAGAATTTGATAAGGACCCAGAATATATATACTTTGTTGGGTCTTAGATGAGTATTTCTTGGTGTTACACACGGAACGACAAACTTATATATACCCTCTATCACCACTGGGTATAAAAATATAAATAAACAAAAACAAGATAAATACCAACAATTTGAAAACACTGTCAATGTAAATGCATAAATTTAAATATAAATTGTAGACGAAAAAAAATAGAAACAAAGTTACACCGTTAAGAATCACTTGGAATCAGTTGGTTTTTGTTTTTGTGCTTTTAAAAAAGCGCAACAAAAACTCTAAAACAATAAGAAGAAACAAAACTGAAAAAAAGAAAAAAACTAACGACGAAGACACACCTTAAAGTGATTTCCGGTGTACTAGATACTCACTGAGCTTAATACAAAATGTACAAGTAAAATCCAAAAAAAAATACATAGACAAAATAGAAAAAAAATACATTAAAAATAAATTATTATTAAAAAAACGTAAGAGACACAAAACTTCAGTCAACAATTATTCACAGCTACTCAATTTCAAACAATTCAGACTGTCAAACGGACAGACAGACATACAAACTAATGGGATACAACTCTCTTATACACCGAATTACCAAAGAGACGTTCGGTCTCAAAGTTATGTCAATTTAAATTAACGGAAATTAATCGAAAATGTGATTATTGAGTACAACAATAGTATTGTTAATAGAAACAATACACGAGTAGAAATGTATTGTTCTAAATTAATGTATAGACATGTAAACAATTTCAGAAGAATGTTTAGCATATAAAAGTTCTAATCAAAAATTAATATAGAAGAAAACTTATTGAACTGTAACAAATTCTAATTTAAATTTGTATTACTTTCTGTTTAAAAGGGTGTGCATTTAAATAATACACCTAAGATCAAGCTGTTTGCTTTCTCAGGTTTCAGAAAATTGTAAAGAAAAGAAGAGCAATAGATTTAAACTCTTTAAGTGGTTTTCATGAAAACTTGTTCAAGTTTAAAGGTTTGATCTTATGGATTTAGAAGACCTTTCATTGCTTTATAATTGATATAATTTTCTGATAAAATATAGAAAAACTTACATCTGGGTGTTCTCTGACAGGTACGTAGACTTTTTCATTTAATGTAACCGGTGCTCCTTCTGGTTCTGGCAACATTAAAGGTTCTTTTTTAACGCCATTTATTTGAAATAGTGAGGCACGAACACGGGCAATTTCTGAAAAAAAAAGAAAAAAGAACAAAATTAATAAAATTAAAGAAAATGGTTACAAAGATTAAAAATTTCTCAATTTTACATTTTTGACATTGTGTAAACAATGTAAAATTTTCACAATTTGACATTTTTGACATAATGTAAAGAATTGCTTAAATCTTAATAACATTGACATTTAGAACCATAATGTCATTTTTGACATTATGTAAACAATGAAAAAAATATAATTTATGTAAATAACATGTAAATTGTGTACTTAGTCAGTAGAATTAAAAAAGGATTTACATTTCAAACAATTTTACATCTTTAACATTATGTAAACAATGTACATAATAGTACAAATTATGCAATTTACAAGCAAAATTTGTAATTGTCATCCTTATCTTAAACAATTTCAAATTATATATTTTTATATTTTTGACATTATGTAAAGAATTGCATAAATTATGCATTTAAGAAGTGATATCATAAAAGCAGTAAATTTCCCATTTTACCTCATTTAATTTTTCCATACTTTACATTAAATTCATAAAGTAAATTAAGTAGGCTAAAGACTAAACTATAGACTAGACTATAGACTAGACTATAGACTAGACTATAGACTAGACTATAGACTAGACTATAGACTAGACTATAGACTAGACTATAGACTAGACTATAGACTAGACTATAGACTAGACTATAGACTAGACTATAGACTAGACTATAGACTAGACTATAGACTAGACTATAGACTAGACTATAGACTAGACTATAGACTAGACTATAGACTAGACTATAGACTAGACTATAGACTAGACTATAGACTAGACTATAGACTAGACTATAGACTAGACTATAGACTAGACTATAGACTAGACTATAGACTAGACTATAGACTAGACTATAGACTAGACTATAGACTAGACTATAGACTAGACTATAGACTAGACTATAGACTAGACTATAGACTAGACTATAGACTAGACTATAGACTAGACTATAGACTAGACTATAGACTAGACTATAGACTAGACTATAGACTAGACTATAGACTAGACTATAGACTAGACTATAGACTAGACTATAGACTAGACTATAGACTAGACTATAGACTAGACTATAGACTAGACTATAGACTAGACTATAGACTAGACTATAGACTAGACTATAGACTAGACTATAGACTAGACGACTATACTAGACTATAGACTAGACTATAGACTAGACTATAGACTAGACTATAGACTAGACTGTAGACTAGACTATAGACTAGACTGTAGACTAGACTATAGACTAGACTATAGACTAGACTATAGACTAGACTATAGACTAGACTATAGACTAGACTATATACTAGATTATAGACTAGACTATAGACTAGACTATAGACTAGACTATATACTAGACTATAGACTAGACTATATACTAGACTATAGACTAGACTATAGACTAGACTATAGACTAGACTACAGACTAGACTATAGACTAGACTATAGACTAGACTATAGACTAGACTATAGACTAGACTATAGACTAGAGTATAGACTAGACTATAGACTAGACTATAGACTAGACTATAGACTAGACTATAGACTAGACTATAGACTAGACTACAGACTAGGCTATAGACTAGACCCTAGACTAATTTATAGACTAGACTTTAGTCTGTCGCGTCACTAAACGACATTGCATTGGTGCAAATGAAAATCTAAAATGTTTACAACTTAAAACTTTATTAAACAATATTTCATTCATGACTTAAGGTAAATAATGTAAATAACAGAAAAATACCACAATAATAATAAACATAGCAATGACCATTTATAGTTGCAAAAAATTTCAATGTTAAAAAACCAAAATAATCTTTAAATCTATATAGAAACTAAAACATTAATACAAATTTCCATATTTAAATGAAAATTTACATTTGCAAAAAAACTTGTAAGTGTCGGTAATTAATTTTAGATTTGTAGTATTTGTTTTTTATTCTGTTCTTTTAATAAGACTGATTTAATACTATAGAAAAAGAAAAAAACGGGTCTGAATATGCAAAATTATGACATTAAACTAGACATGATATGAGTCATATAGAAGAAAACTTGTAATACCTCCTTTACAACAGGTGAATTAAGAAAATGTCTATATGTCAGTTGTTAGTTTTTTTTCCCCTATTTTAGTGTTTAATTGAATAGTTTAAATCATTTATTATGGTCATTGTTTTGTATTAATGGCTTAATTCTATACAATTTATGAATTAATTATTGTAATTAAAAACGTTTTGTTTAAGAATCATATCCGCAGGGGGAGTTGTTTGTTTTGTAAAAATAATTCCTTTATTTTTATGAATTTTATATGGTCATCGTGGTTTTAAATTTTAACTAATAACATGTTCAATAATTTCTTGTATTTGTGCACCGGTTTGTGTTGGTTATTTTCTTTAAATTTTCTTGTAATATAAAGGTTAAAATGTTAATAAGTTTGTGTTTTTTTTAAAGTTTATTAATTAACAAGTTATAAGTCGGTAATCAATATTTATTTTTTGACAGCTATCATGTTTTATTTGCATATAAATAATTAATACTTTAATACACCGTAAAAATTGAATAGTTTTTCTTTTAATTTTAAATGAAACAAAAAACATATTATACCATTTTCAAACTTTTAGTCTCCTTTTTGCGAATTTCAACCTTAAACTAATGCTCTCTCACTTTCCCTTTAGCAGGGTCATTTAAAGTGTTGCCAAGTTAGTGTTTTTTATATACTTATTATGTAACGGCGATTTATTTATAGATTTAAGTGTTCAAAAATGTAATTTTAATTAACTTTCAATTAAATATTTATTAAATAAATAACTAACATAAAAAAGAAGTGTTATAATATTAATTTGTTGATATTTAAATGTTTTTGTTTTAACCGGCGGCTATTTTTTTATTGAATTTATTAAACATATGTTATAAATTTTTAAATTATTTAAAGATAACCAATATGTAAGAGGAGTTGCCTTTTTAAAACAAATGGCGCTAAATAACAAACGAAAATATGTTAAACTAAAATCTGCAACTCATTTTCAATTTGCACAAAATGTAGGTCACATTAAGCCATCAAAAAAGATTTTAATTAAATTTGCAATTAGTGTTAAAAGAAAAAAATATTTTCATAACATAAAAAAACATTTAATAAATTCTTTTGTTCTTTTAAACATCTGCAAAATATCATATCGTAGCATATAGAAATACAAATATTTAAATATTTATTATTTTAATTAAATACACACTATAAACATAAATTACTTTTCCTAAGTAGGGAGAGGCAGGTCTTTAATAAAATCTCTAACACAAATTGTAAAGAAAATGATTTCAATGTTTAAGAATTTCTTTGAAAGTTTTTCAAAAATAAATTTTAAGTTGCAAATTAATTGAATTATTTTATGTTAAATGAAAATAAAGAGTGATAGAGAGCAACAAAAAACCAGAAAAACATGTCTGTTTAAAAAAAAAGCAATAATTTTCAAATGTTCAATATGTTTTAGATTAATGTTCACCCGCACATTTGACCTCAAATGTATATGAGTGGTTTTGTACTTCACACACTTGTTAAATGTACATTAGCTGCTGTTGTCTCTTAGATATTGAAACGTTAAATAAATAAATTATTTGGCATGAGGTAATACACCCTTTTAAATCACCCACTTTACTTGTACTCCATTTACTAACCCAGCAAAAAAGTCGGTAATGAATTGTACTTTAACAACAACATACTTTTCAATTACTACAGCATACCGACTGCATTACTTTTAAGTACTCTTATAATGACTTACTTATAATCAAATAGGTACTTGATTTTGACGTTTTATTTGCACCATTGATTGACACACAATAAAATAACTAAAGAGTGCTGTAGAGACAAACAAATTGTTTACACAGAATACAAACCTGGGTATTCTCCCTATTAGTAAGTACTTATTAATGTAGTTATTTGTGAGCGAGCGTGGTAAGTACTTAACTCCAATGTCATTACTTTGTTAAAATAATGATTTAAAATGCTTATGAATAAGTAGAGAAAAGCTCTAACTCATTACTTTTCCATGCAATTTTGTGCTGGTATAGTTTATTCTGATTCTATTTTGTTTTAGCTTAATTGACAAATAAGTTTACCATAAAGTACAACCACTGTTCCACAATTAATTTCAACTTGGTCAACATGACACTTTATAGTGCGATAGTATCGATATTTCTTATAAAATTTATTGCATATTTAGTTTCTTTTGCATTGTGTTCTATTGTTCTTGAAATCTGATGATGTTTTTATTATAAATTTATGTATAGAAGGTGTTTTTTTTTTTAAATTTATATTGTTGTCTTAAAATGTTGATAATTTAAATAAGGAAAAATATTGATGAAAATTTTTAAGAGTTACATAAATTGAATTGAATTTAAAGAAACAGATAGTGGTTGTACGGCAGTGTCACAAGAAGAAATGCAATTGTTTGGAAATTAATGAACGATTTTTATGAATTCCAAAAAGTAAAATTTTAAAAAATCCCAGTATTATTTTGGGTATAATGATCAAAAAATCTTCAGAAATTATAGTAAATATAAGGCGAGTTTTAGACAAACAACGTAATGGGCATCACTGCTTACTTCCCTGTCACTCTATCACTTTATCTCTTGGAAGGTGTTGCCAAATTGTTTAGCTTCTAGCAGTGTTACTAATACAGATCCCATGAAACTTAATTTCTGCATATCACCCCTATTGCAAATAGAAGTTATATTTTTGTTCCCTTGAAATTTTCATTCCCCTCGAAGGGAATTATTGTGAACTTGTTGTGAATAATTCATTCACAATAGTTTATTTTGTATGCAACAGCTGTTCATTGTTTACAAAATTCTATCAACAAATTTCACAACAGGGGCATTTTTTCACGACAAAAAAGTTAGTGAACGAAATATGTGAAAAGGGAACATATTTCACGTGAAATGTTGATTAGCGATAGTGGTGAATTTGTTATACACTTATTCTGA